AGGAGAGGTTTTGTCTCCTATCTGTGTTTAGAATCATTAGTTATTAAGAGTTGTATAAGTTGTTTTTAACTAAGTAACAAACATAAGAAAAAGTGTACATATACAATGGATATTCATAATAGAATAGCTAGACTTCAACAACTCTCAAACATAAATACAAGGGACAAACCTTTTGTATTTATACACTTATACCTTCGGTTAAACTTGCCATTATTCATTTATCATGGCGGCTAACTATGCAGTTTTAGATTACTAGGATGCCTTATCCTGATAAGACTCTTATCTCTTATCTCTCGATTCTTATTGGCTTCGGCATCTTATCTCAACGTAAACATTATTTCAAAAAACTCCTTCCGAAACTAGATATTTAAATGAAGATAGAAGTGAGAAATCTAATTGTAGTGATCTATTAGACCAACAATAGTTGCTTTCATGAATGGGTACTTAAAGAAAATGGCAGTTTGGCCGAGTGGTCTAAGGCGTCAGGTTAAGGTCCTGGTCTCTTCGGAGGCGTGGGTTCGAACCCCACAGCTGTCACAATTATTTTTTTTAAAAGCTGTTGTTTTTGAAGGATATTTTTTAAGTACTCTTATTAAGATAGATGAGATGTCCATAGATCTAAGTCTGGTGCAAAAAACTCACGACTCTTCTAGGCTGTAGGTAGTTCGCAATAAAAATTAAAAATATCTAATCAGGCAACACTAAAATATGAAGTTCAAGTAGCTTGAAAAAGTACTGAGACTGAGATTTTTTATAGCATTGTAGCTATCATTAATAATATCGTAAAAAGGCACTAGATTTTCATTTTGAGAAATTGCTATATTTGGAGATGACGAGGTTCAAACACAAGATCCTTCACTTATTCACCGCGTAGAGGCTCCGTATAAAGAGACAAATTTTCATGCTAAATCTCGAAAAATCGGTGATACGTTTTTAGTACCTTTAACAAATCACCGTCTTAAATTGATAGTGGATGTTCTTCCTTTCAACAGCTTCAACCCTTGTAGTTTGATAGATAGTTGATACACAGGTAATAATTTGACATGGGTATGGTTTCCCTTGGGCAAGTAATCTCATAAATCTCATAAATCGTCTGCTGAAACTATGGGCACATTTTCCCGTTGGTGAACGATCCTGTTGTAGAACCCTTTTTTGAACTTAGTCATAACTTTGATTAAACTTTTTAACTTCAGAAACGCTAAACCGTTGAACAATCTTTGATGAGAAAAAGCTACAAGTTCTGAGCCAATTATTGACTTCGTCATTTGCAATCTAAGACGCAGCAAAGTATGCTAAATAGCTAGTACGAAAAATAGTGGTACCTTCTTCACAAAAACAGAAAAGTTTTCAGCTATGTTAGCTAACAACTATATAATTAGGCAAAAAAACTACCCTATAAAGTTTAAGATGGACATCCAATAATGCAAAAAACAAAATTTTCTGTATGTGGTTCTTCTAACCTGGGCTCTTCGGACTACGTAATTTTAAGCCACTGACTATTCAAATATCCAAATTACCGATCATCGCTTGTATCACGTTCTTGCCCAATAGTATATTAAAGACAGAGTTTCAGGCATTGAATAAGTGTATATTAGTTTAGCAAATAGAAGCAAATTTCCCAATTTCAAAAGGCTTAGGTGCTTTCATCTCCCCATACTTTGATGACCAGGAAATAAACTGATTACATTATCGTAAATTATTTCGAAGACCAGTGCAGTGAAACCTTAGCTTGGTGCAACAATTCATGGCAATTCAGTGGCTGGTAAGAGTGAAAGCATTTCAGCAGATTTGAAAATTTATAGAGAGAATCTTAATCTATTCAGTGGGAGTCAAAACAGTACACTTTTCATTTCATCCACGCTTATCAGTTTTTTCAAGCTTTATTGAGGCAACACATTAGTAGTAGCATTATTATTAGATAAAAAATGAAAACTATCGAAACTAGTTTTTTTGCTAAGAGCTTGACTTATTATCTCTAATCCATGACAAATATGTAAGCCACTCTTACTTTCATCCATATTATATCTTTCGCCGATTCTCTATTTTAGTTGCTTACGCAGTTTAATGTAGCGGACACTACATACTAAAAAATTTAGTAATCTCTCTTTTGAGTATTCTGGAAATTTAGACTCGTCTCAGAAAGCTTGTGAACTAAAGTTGAAATTAGATTCTCTACTCATTGTGGTTGATAACAATTCTCAGAGCTCTTTTTGGCTCAACCTGCTACTTGCGAATGAAAAGGGGAATCAAACTTTATTAATAGGACCTTAACTCAGACCTTACATAAGCTATGTTGCTACTTTGAAAGCTGTAAAAAATAAACAGAAACTCATCGAAGTCAAAACGTTTCTGAAAGGGGTATGAAAATAATAATTACAAAGCTAGAACCACCATAACTAAAGCCATAAAGAAGGTGTTAGCTTGGACATTAGAGGCTGCATCTTTGTATAAGGAAGACACAGATTGAGTTCCTGGAGAAGCAGGAACAGAAACAGAGACGAGGGTCGATGATGCTGAGTTCGGAGCTTGAGCAGACGTGTTTGTATGTTCGCCCGCATTGTTCGTAGGGTTAGCCGCACCTGTAACTTGAGAAACTGTGTTTTTAGCTGGTCCGTTAGATGCTTGGCTAGCGGAAGATGTGACAGTGTCTGCTTTTGGTTTCTCTGTAGGGGTGGCCGCATTGCTTGTTGCCCCAGTTGCCGAGAATGACCCTGTATTACTACTGTTAGAAGTTTCTGGAGCGAAAGTGCTTTTTGTGGTTGGTTGACCAGCATTGTTGTTAGAAACCGTTGAACTCGTTTTACCCGATGAAGGGTTGTTGGAAGAACCATTAGAAGCGCCAGTTGCAGGTGAACCAGTGGCTGTACCAGTGGCAGATGAAGCACCAGCACCAGTCCCAGTACCAGTATTAGTTGCGGATGAAGCACCGGTATCAGTGGCAGTACCAGTAGCAGATGAAGCACCAGTATCAGTGGCAGTACCAGTGGCAGATGAAGCACCGGTACCAGTACCAGTACCGGTGGCTGTACCAGTGGCAGATGAAGCACCAGCACCAGTCCCAGTACCAGTATTAGTTGCGGATGAAGCACCGGTACCAGTGGCTGTACCAGTGGCAGATGAAGCACCGGTACCAGTAGCAGTACCGGTGGCCGTACCAGTGGCAGATGAAGCACCGGTACCAGTAGCAGTACCGGTGGCCGTACCAGTGGCAGTTGAAGCACCAGTACCAGTACCAGTACCAGTAGCAGATGAAGCACCAGTATCAGTGGCAGTACCAGTAGCAGATGAAGCACCAGTATCAGTGGCAGTACCAGTAGCAGATGAAGCACCGGTACCAGTAGCAGTACCGGTGGCCGTACCAGTGGCAGATGAAGCACCGGTACCAGTAGCAGTACCGGTGGCCGTACCAGTGGCAGTTGAAGCACCGGTACCAGTACCAGTACCGGTGGCCGTACCAGTGGCAGTTGAAGCACCAGTACCAGTACCAGTACCAGTAGCAGATGAAGCACCAGTATCAGTGGCAGTACCAGTAGCAGATGAAGCACCAGTATCAGTGGCAGTACCAGTAGCAGATGAAGCACCAGTATCAGTGGCAGTACCAGTGGCAGATGAAACACCAGTGGCAGTACCAGTGGAAGTCAAATCAGTTAGAGATGAAGAAACAGTAGAGGATATGTCAGTAGACGTGGTGTTTCTGTATCCACTGTAAGAAGAGAATGTACTTGGATTATTACCGTTAGATGTAGAGCTTTCAGTTGGAATGCCACTGTTGGAAGTGGAGCTACTAGAGGAAGCACCAGAAGTGTTGGATGGAGTACCAGATGAAGCACCAGAAGTGTTCGAGGAAGCACCAGATGAAGCACCAGAAGTGTTCGAGGAAGTAGCAGATGAAGCACCAGAGGTGTTAGATGGAGTACCAGATGAAGCACCAGATGTGTTAGATGGAGTACCAGATGAAGCACCAGAAGTGTTCGAGGAAGCACCAGATGAAGCACCAGAAGTGTTTGAGGAAGCACCAGAAGTGTTGGATGGACTACCAGATGATGCACTAGTTTCAGATGATGCACCAGATGATGCACCAGAGGTGTTAGATGGAGTACCAGATGAGGCACCAGAAGTGTTAGATGGAGTACCAGATGAAGCACCAGAAGTGTTCGAGGAAGCACCAGAAGTGTTGGATGGAGTACCAGATGAAGCACCAGAAGTGTTCGAGGAAGCACCAGATGAAGCACCAGAAGTGTTCGAGGAAGCACCAGAAGTGTTGGATGGACTACCAGATGATGCACTAGTTTCAGATGATGCACCAGATGATGCACCAGAGGTGTTAGATGGAGTACCAGATGAGGCACCAGAAGTGTTAGATGGAGTACCAGATGAGGCACCAGAAGTGTTTGAGGAAGCACCAGAAGTGTTGGATGGACTACCAGATGATGCACTAGTTCAGAT